CTCAAAATATATCTACTAACTGTGACTATTTTTCTTTGTTTCCTATACTGTTCTCTCAACTCTACCAACTATTTCGAACTCTTTGACTATCTCACTTCTTGCCATGAATCATTGCTATCCACACACCCCAACACCGAGATCCTCTACCTAGGGGGTTTCAATGTACATCACAGAGAGTGACTTGGCTCGGCAAGGGATGACCCAGGTGGAGCTGAGGCACTCTCCTTTTCCTTACTTTATGATTTGGAGGAACTAATAATCAAACACCCTACACGTGTTCCTGATCGACACGATCAACTTGCTAACATTCTTGATCTTTGTTTTACCTCTAACCCCTCACACTATTCATACTCAATTTCTGTCCCCCTTAGAGTCTTCTGATCACAACCTTATTTCTATTAAATCAAACTGGGCACGACCACCTCCCCCACCCCCTTCTAAACGTCAACTATGGCACTATCGGAGGGCAAGCTGGCAATCCTTGCGAGAATTCTTCACCGGCTTTCCTTGGGATGAATGTTGCTTTTCCACTCGGGATGCCTCGGTATGTGCAGACAGCATTGCTGGGGTTATACAGTGTGGTATGAGTGCATTTATCCCATCTTCTACCAAAACTTTCACATTACAATCATGGTTTGATCGCTCTTGCTCTCTTGCTTGCAGGGTGAGAGATAGGGCATATCGAGCAATGAAACTATCTCCTCCTATTACCCACACCTCTTTCATTACTTCTAGGAATCGCAGCAAGTCTATTCTTCGTAGGGCCAAGCGGAATTTTCATTAAAAGAAAGACCGCTGACCTGACTAATTCTTTCTCTAGTAAATCCTTTTGGTCCTTAAATAAAAACACCTGTAACAACTTCTGCACGCCTTCTTTTCCTCCCCTCTTCCGACCTGATAACTCTATAGCCAACTCTCCCCCTGACAAAGCCAACCTCTTTGGCACCTTATTCTCCTCTAATTCCACCTTAGACGATTCCTACTCTATCCCTCCTACCCCTGCACCTCCTACTGAACCTATGCACTTTCCTATAATCTCCACTCTCAGGGTTGCCGGTGTGCTTGCTCGCCTCTTTCACCTCTGCCTCAAAACCCAAACTTTTCCTTCTTCTTGGAAGCATACCTTGGTTCAGACCATCCCGAAGAAGGGTGACCATTCTAATCCCTCTATCTATCGCCCCATTGTCCTAACTTAATCCCTCTCTAAGATTTTCGAAACTATCTTGAGTTCCCATTTTCTCCGTCACCTTGAACGCCTTTCTTTTTTATCGGATCACCAATATGGCTTTCGCCAGGCGAGATCTACTGGTGATCTGCTCTCCTACTGCACCCATCTTTGGTCATCCTCTCTTAAGGATTATGGGGAACTTTCGTCGTGGCCCTCGACATCTCCAAAGCATTTGACAGGGTATGGCACACGTCTTTGCTATCTAAACTTCCCTCTTATGGTTTCTTTCCCCTACTTTGTTTTCTCATCTCTAGCTTCCTTGAGAACCGATCCATGGCAGTTGTTGTCGAGGGATCGATCTCTCGCTCTTTCTCTACTAGTAGTGGCGTCCCACAGGGTTCTGCTCTTTCACCTTCTCTCTTCCTTCTTTTTATCAATGATTTATTTCACACTACAAATAATTCTATCCATTCTTACGCTGATGATTCTACTCTTCACTCTTCTTCACATTTTCCCCTTCCTCCTAACTCTCAAACTAGATCTGTTTCTAGAACTGATATCATTACTTCTATCAATGCGGATTTGTGCAGTATCTCTGAATGGGGAGGTAGAAAATTGGTTAAGTTCAATAGTAATGAAACTCAATATTTACCAATTACACTTTGTAAATCAGACGATCTCCCACCAATTACATTTCAGGACGCTATCATCCTGCCAAATTCTGAAATAAATGTTAGGCCTCACCATTTCCTCCAATATGTCCTGGAAATCATACATCCTTAGTATAGCTATAGCTGCCTCCCGAAAGTTGGGAATGTTGTACAGATGCCGTATCTACTTCACTCCTGAGTAGTTGCTCCAAGTATATAAGGGATTCATTCGTCCTAACTTGGAGTACTGCTCTCATATCTGGGGTGACTCTTCTTCTGTCCAACTATTAGATAAGGTGGAATCAAAGGCATTTCGTCTTATTAACTCTCCTCCTTTAGTCGACAATCTCTATTCCCTTTCTCTTCGCCGCAATGTTGCTTCACTCTCTCTTTTAAAGGTACTCTAACGGGCAATGTTCTCCATGTATTTGGCATCCTGTATATTGCCAGCTAAGCCGTTGGCTCGTAACACGTCTGCTTGCCGGCGGGTGCCCTGCGTTTCTCTGTGGATGTCGGTCACACTAGAATAACCCGTTACAGTACCTCCTTCTTCTTCACACAGCCAAACTGTAGAATGCTCTGCCTTCTTCTGTGTTTCCATACTTATACAATATAATACTCACTTTAAAAAGCTGGTTTCCAGCATCTTCAGTTATGCACAACCAGATTAGCACAATTATAACCTTTTTCTTCCTCTATTTTCAATTTCTTTCTGTTCTTTTTTTTCGCCCCCAGAGCTCCGTTGTGAGTCGTTTATTTCTTGAGTGGCCTAATTCCCGTAAAAAAAAAAAAAAAAAAAAAAAAAAAAAATATATATATATATATATATATATATATATATATATACTATATATATATATATATATATATATATATATATATATATATATATATATATATATATATATATATATATATATATATATTATATATATATAATACGATGAAGCGCCCCTTGGACAAAATCCCGAGCCAGCACAAACACACTTAAATTACTAAAATATGAATTCTCCGTGACTCGTGGAATGAAAGCACCTGTGATTGAGGTGAATGAGACGCACTGTAAAATTTGACACTTCTATTCCCTCCAACAATACAGACACAAACAATAATGGTACACCAACATATGCGCACCTCTTAGGGTGGCTTAAAACACTACACTGGGGAGCAAAAGTTATACAAGATATCAAAATTATTAAGAAATATTAAATGCATTAAAGGAAGACTAAATCAACAGTGTTACTTACAACAGAAAGGAGGAACCTCATGTGAAAACAGTTCCCTCGTTATCTGACATCAATTAGTGACACATAAACCTTAGAAAATAATAGTATCAAAAATATTTACGGAATATTAACTACACCTAGCAAGACAATATCAGTCACAGAGAAATAGTATCAAATATTAGGACATGTTACCTACACACATGAACAGGCTTTAAGGGCACTCAACAGAATAATATCAGTCACTGAGAAATAGTATCAACAATATTAACAAATTATTAACTCCACCATGAACATACCTTAGGGGCATTCAACGAAATAATATCAGTCACTGAGAAATGGTATCAAAATATGAAGAAATTATTGACTCCACCATGAACAGGCCTTAAGGGCACTCAACAAGACAATGTCAGTCACTGAGAAAATGGCATGAAACATTAAGAAATTAATAACTCCACCATGAATAGGCCTTAAGGGCACTCAACAAAATAATACCAGTCCCTGAGGACTGGGAATAAACAATATTAAGAAAATTATTAACTACATACACATTCTAAATATACCTTACCACTATTTCCCTTAAACATGCATCACACAGGCTCAGAACACATCCATACTAGGAAATGGAAAGTGTCTCAGAGTACCATTAGACTCCTGGTCTCAATGTGTGATTGTTCATTCACTCAGACTGCTTCAGTTTACACTCAGTGCATCCATGGATGGGAAGAAAGAACGTCAGCAGGTGACCCTGACCAGTAGATAATACTTCTAGCTGACCGTAGACACGTGGTGTTGTGAACCCACTTGAGAAGAACTGATCAACTAGTGCTGATGCTGGTCCCACGTAATTTTAGTTGTCTGGAGGGATCCCAGCTAAAACCTTGCTAACCAGTGACAAGCCTGCTCTGATCGTTCCAATTGCGACAATCGCCAATCATCAATCGTCAACGGTAGTCATCAAACGGCAGTCATCAATCTCAGTCAAGTGGGTTCTGCCGAAACCCTGCAATGAACTCACTGTTAGCTATTGTTAACTTCTATCACTGCCCTATCTTAACCCTGTCTGAGATCGAATGAAACTTACTTGCAACACTGATGGCCGTGCACGCAACGAGGCGAGACCACGTGATCACTTTCTGTGGCAGATACTCGCAGGCAGACGTCTGTGTGGCCCTGGCGTCGGTGCCTTACTGACGCTTCCCAAGCATCTCTTCAAGACGCTACCCTGGCCTAGTGACGTCATCACTCACAACTAAATAGCTTCTTTGGGACACACGTAACATTTTTAGACTGTGAAACGATCTACAATAAATTTAAATTTATTAATAGTCCCTTAACTTCATGAATCGCATCCATATAAAGTACATTAAATATTATATTGGCCTAGTTCATAATGCTCCCACTGCGCTTGGGTGGCGTTCCTTGCGCTTATTTCTTGCCACGAGGCATGGTCGGTCTTGGCTTGACTTACTGATGTTCAAACGTCTCTAAATATCACACAGTAATGAAATATATACTATATATATATATATATATATATATATATATATATATATATATATATATATATATATATATATATATATATATATCTTGATAAAATCACACACGGGAAAATGGAAACAACAGAGTACCTTGGCTTTCGTCTTTATTCAAGACATCTTCAGAATTTGCCTGAAGATGTCTTGAATAAAAACAAAATTTTCATTATTGGATTTACGCAGTATATATATATATATATATATATATATATATATATATATATATATATATATATATATATATATATATATATATATATATATATATATATATATATATATATATGTGTGTGTGTGTGTGTGAGAATGTGGCTGGGTGTGTATGTGTGTGTGTGTGTGTGAGAATGTGGCTCGGTGTGTATGTGTGTGTGTGTGTGTGTGTGAATCACTTCATTGAATAGCATAACCTTCTACACAGCATCAGTGAGTGAGCGTGTGTGGGTGTACCTGCGGTGTATGTACTGCAACAACGGGGAGGCGGACGTCCAACCTATCCATCAGTATAATATTACCTCAGTTCCTCAACCTACTGACAACCTTTTCACAGGTGGGGGTCTTCAATTATTCTCCTTACACACTTTAAGACATATCTCTTCTTAGTGTTTTCACTGCAGACATTTGATCCCATATATTTTTCACGCTTTTAAGGGAATTTATTAATTTTAATATCTTCTGCCAGTGATGTATTTGAGTTTCATATACTTGAAAAAAATATATTAAAAAAAAAAGACGATTTATGACTTGGTTTTTCAGAAATTTCGTCATGACACTACATTTCGTCCTACAGAAAACTTTCTCAACAGAACAAGTGAAGACCTTGATGGGTCGAGAAATGACGGTTGTGGCAGTTCCTTACTTCCCATACGTGGACTATACACCTCTCTCCGATGAGCCAGGTGGCCTAGTTCAGCTCAAGGATTCCATAGACACCCGGATACTGGAAGCCTTCGCAACTGCACTTAATTTCACGTAGAATTCTTTGTTTGTTCAATGCAAAAGTTTTCTTAATTTTATTTTCATATAGCGGGTAAAGTACGTCAAAGAACTTTCTTAGACTGGGAAAAAGAAGAGTAAGGAAACAATCTTTTGTAAGCGTCGTCACTTTTCTTTGACAGATGAATCTAGCGTCATAAAATGGTTAATATGGTAAATGGTTAACATGTCGGGTATATTACTGTCTTACACTGAATAAAAACATGGCAATCATGTAGAAGTAAAGGAGGTTGAAGATTATATCATGAGGAACTGATGTATAGCAAATGATTAACACTTACTCTCATACCTTCAGTATTTGTATTATTCATTTATTATGACATATATTTCAGACCATCTGTTACAAGTGCAACTCATTATTTTGATTCTGTAGCACTGGTGGATCCTTTTAATTGATACAAAAGTCACTTTTCAAACAGTTGTCAGCAGACACAATGAAAAGGACCTCTGATGCGTTTTGCTTAATAATATCTCAGGTCCATTTTCTTTTGCGTACAGTTATGAGATTCGCGAAGAGCCTGAAAAAATATGGGGTATGAATGAAAACGGCACATTCACCGGGATGGTTGGTCAGCTTCAACGTGAGGAGACCGACTTCACCACCATAACGGGTATATCCGCAGAACGCTTAGTGATTATTGAGTTCCTTAGAACTTATCCCTCTGATCTGATGACAGTGACTTCTCTGAAGCCTTCACTCCTGCCCCAACTCCTATCGTTAATCCGACCATTTGAAGGTATTAATAATAGAACTTGATGCTATAGAGAAATAGCTAAAACTAAAATGATGACAAATGATTTACAGTGAGATGACACCATCTTGGATATATTGTGTGTAATATAGTCCAGAGACACATGTTGCACTGATCATAGTGTCACCGATAAAGGTTACATTATTTTTCCTTACTTCTTTACGTGGTTACATAATATCACTTACCTCTAAATTATTAAGTAATCAATTCATTAGCTCTTCCATCCTGCAGGAGATCTCTGGGTGGCACTGTTGCTGAGCGTGGTGGCGTGGGGAGTCTGTATGTGGGTACTACAGAGGGCATGGCAGTGGGTGACAGGAGGTCTGGGTATTAAGTTCAGCACCTCCATTTTATACGGCTGGGGCGCCCTCCTGGAGCAGCCGCCATCCGTCCCCTCAGCTAGTGACTCAGGAAGAGTAAGTCTGTTCTTACATTTAATATATTCAAATGGAACTATACTGTAGATGTACCAATAGTACAGTATTGTGTCTGTAGTATGCAGGATATTCTGTACAGTATTTAGAGGCTGATTTTCTCCATCAACAATCCTGAGTATTGTTACAACCTTCACACTTTCTTCTAGGACTCACTGGAGGATATATAGTCAGCCATAGGCCCATTATATCAGAGGAGACTCTGAAATGACATCTTCTGTTAACAGAGAGATTAAATGTTAAACACAGACCCTTAACTTACTTCTGACTAGCAATCTCCTGACAGCTGACAGGTGTTTATTTTATTACCACTGTTCCCTCAAAACTGGTTTAATCAAAATACAGCTTTAAACAATACAACAAAATATATTTAACAACAAATAAAAATAAAATGTGCTCTCCATCCATGTACTGTACATACAAAAGGCCACAAATCAATTCACTCAAAATAATGTTACCTCCACCAAATACAAGGCTCTCTCACTGCTACAATAATCTTTAGACTATAATGAACATATTACACTTTAGTTAACACCATAATTATCCATGATTGCCCAGGTAACAATAGATAAATGCATACCACACAAGCTTGACCCTCCTACCACATCAACAACCTAGCTAGAGAGTCTCCAAAACACATATGTTCCAATACTTTCTTGTTTCAGCAACATATAATTTCTAATTATTGTTATACTTCACAAATGCTTCTCACAGTCTTTCATAACTGTATGAAAAATAAAAATTTATTCAACAAAGTTTACATAATGGCACAAATACTAATATGCATACTAATACAAAATTATCAAGACATTTTTATAAATCTTTGCCATAAGCTTGGAATTTCGATTCTAAGGAAAACGGGACACAATTAAACTAAATAAATAGGGTAACTAAAAAAAAAATTAGGGAAAGTGGAGATGACTGTAGTATTATACAGGTGAAGATGGTCAATCAGCCGCCTTGTCAACTTTTAGTTAAAGTTACAGCTGGCGGTGAGTTGGCTTTCTGGTCCTCGCCATAATTGTATGGAGAAGAGTTTCAGTTTATATGATCCCCTTGTCACTCTTTCCCATATATATATATATATATATATATATATATATATATATATATATATATATATATATATATATATATATATATATATATATATATATATATATATATATATATATGTGTGTGTGTGTGTGTGTGTGTGTGTGTGTTTATCACCATTTCACACATATACTGTGCAGGTTTTGATGTGTAAGTGGTAACTTGATCACATCTTCTGCTATGTGTGTAGATGTTGGTGGGTTGGTGGCTGGTGTTCTGCCTGGTCATCACCACGGGCTTCCGTTCATCACTGATCGCCCACATGACAGTCCAGGGTAAGACGCTGCCTATAAAGACTTTCGAGGACCTGGTGAGTCAAGACAACTGGAAGTGGGCCACTGAGCCTTGGCTACTTAAGGGCATTCCTCTTGATTTCTTTTCCAAGAACACCAACCCGGTGGTACAGAAGCTGTACAAGCATATGGAGGTTAATACATACGTATTTTTCATAAGTTTACCAATAACAACGTACGATAAAGAAAATTAGCTTCACACACACACACACACGTCCAAAACAATTGATATCACAAATTTTATATCTAAGTAAGTGACAAATTAATTCAATAACACGTACTGTAAACAAATGATCACGTACAAAGTTCAATAAAAAGAATCACATTAAAACAAACAGAATAATAAAATATTTTTGTATTTCTGTAATTATCATTATTGAAATAAACACATAATGTACCTTGTCCTTTTAAGATTTGCTTCGAGAACAGAAAGCCTTTATTTACTCAGGTGTTAGGAGCGGATGAGGCACTTCACAAGGTGCTGAAGGGCGGCTTCAGTCTGGTCGACTTTGAGAACTATATTAACATCATTGTTGCCTCTCGCTACGCTGATCAACATGGCAACAACCCATTCTACGTCAGTAAGAGAGGTGTCTCCATTTTAGCTACCTTTGGTTGGAGTCTTCGGTAAGTTTATTGTTTCTATGTCCTATGCAAGTGACTTTCTGACTTTCTTGTAATATAGACTCAGATATTATTGCCTTCGCGGTTTTGTTCCATTTAAGGAAGGGCGCACCATTCTACACGCGTTTTCAACAGCTGAGGTCTCGGTTGGAAGACGCAGGTCTTATAAGCTACTGGACTAAAGAAGTTATGGCTAGACGCGTGAAAGAGAACAGAGAAGCGAACCCACCGAATTCTGAGGCAGCCCAGGCATTCACGTCACAGGTGAACACTAGCTACTCTTCTCTCCCCATTAACAACACCACATCCACTACACTATCAGTTGCACTACCTCCAGCAAATCATCACCTACACAATATCAACTACAGAATCACCTACACTGCATCAACTACGCTTTCATCTACACTACATCAACTATACTATCATCTATACTACATCAACTACACTTCCATCTTCACTCCACTACATTTTGCTGCCCGAAGCAGTTACTGGTACTATTCTTTCTCTCGACGGCTGCTATATATAGTATCTAATACGTGTGAAAATGTTTGTATGGGTGATTACTCTAATAGAAAGGTCTTTAGTGATTGATGTTAATGATTTTTACATATAATATTAAAATGTGACAAAGAACTTCTGTTTTCTGCAGGATGACACGAGAGAGAAGCCACTTGGGATGCAACATATGCAGGGCGCCTTCTATTTGTTATTTCTGGGGTTTTTTTTGGCCTTCCTTGCCCTGCTGGGGGAGAAGCTTACTCACTCCCGCTCCTTGGCTTTGTAACGCTCCTATTACACCATCACCTCTGTTGAGGAGCAATGTTTCAGGGGAAATGGAGATGGATTAAAGAGAAAAGTTATACCTATGTACAGAATCTTTGTAGGTACTCCGTTAATGCTCTTTCTTTCTCTCTCTCTCTCTCTCTCTCTCTCCCTCTACGAAAAGAAGGTTTTCGTAACATTAACAAATCTGCAAACAAGGATGAAAGAACAAACTGATAAGCATCTTTATACTTATAAAAAAAATAAAGTGCACTAGAGATCATACAAGTGTTTTTGTCAAATTTATTCACTGTGGTTGACTTGCACTGATGGGGGTTATATAATTATAGGTAAACACCATAACAGGGCGTTCCACAGAATGATAGTCCAGGGTATAAATTAATTTTAGTAAGCACAAGTTCTGTCGAATAGAATTTAAATAAAAAGTCATGGGCCCTCCCAGATGCCTTCGTGGGCGGACTGAGGATGCATTATGGTAGTAGCACTATTGAGTGTAGTTCCTCAGAACATCATCTGTTGATGTATCTATAAAACAGGGAAAGCGATGATATATCCCTGTGAATGTGCAATGTTGGAAAAATCACTGGAAGTTCTCCTTTTAGCAGGTGTACTAGCAGTGTATATATCCTATCCATCTCCCTTCTATTGTTCCTTCGTAAGCAATATGATAAATTATTTGTTTTATTACTTAATGTACAGAATACAAAACAATTCATCATTTTGTATAAATTAAACGGGTGATTCCGTAATTAACTTTCAACCAAAAACCAGTCAACTTGTCATAAAAGTTTATTTTAAGGGAAGACGTTTGCTACAAAAGGAAACACTGTCACACATAGGAAGGAAGTGTTTGACAGAAACAAATAAGATTACATATAGCGTCGACCCACCCACAAGAAACCAGTTGTTCAGGCTTACAAAGACTGAGAGAGAGCTTATGTACACAGGGTGACCTTACAAAACATGAGGTCAGGTAAAAAAATATGACATCCCCTAATCCACACACCAACCACAGCAAACATAAGAAGAGATTACAAGAACGGGCGACATAACTAGACATGTCACGTCTGGTAAAAAATATGAGACCTACTCATCATCTATCATACATCTACATTACATGTTTTCAAATAATTTTTAACCTTGGGCCACTGACAAATAAATTTGTGTAACATATCAGTTTTGTACTGACCATCACTAAGGTTTAAAGAATATATTTCTCTAATCAAACTTGCTTCAACTAGACGTCTTTCTGTGACACATGATGGTTTATACACTTCTAAACTGTTTTCCTAAGCCATGGGATGATTATTGTTCCTTATATGAACGAAACGTGAACTGCTTTCAGGGTGACCAGTAATAAGGCCACAGAAAAAAAAGTCACAGAAAAAAAGTCACAATTTTGGCCTGGAAAAAAAGTCACAGAAAAAAGTCACAATTTTGGCTAGGAAAAAAAGTCATAGGAAAAAAAGTCACATTTCCATTAAACACCATAGATACTAATTAAAGTAATTAAACAAATAGTATTTTAAGTCGCTTATTAACTGACAATACAAGGCAATGAAACAAAAACATTTATGTCAGTCGTTTATTGGTAATATATAACATGTACACATTGAAAACAACACACATAATGCCATAGTATTATAAATACTCGAAAACAATCAGAGTTTATTAAAAACCTTTAAAACAGTCATTTATTGAAGTACTTACATGACATGTACACGTTGAAAACAACTTACATAATAGCATGACATTACATGTATATTTAGTGTTGATGATTAAGACGAATATTCCAACCGACGCCATGAAGAAAATCTGTTACAATCTTGTGATCCTCCCGTCGAGTAACACACAAGTTGCGAAAGCTTTCTTGTAGCTGCACATAGCGTCGACGAACTCTTCTTTGAGGTGGGTTGCCAACAGCAACTTATTGAAGAACTTATTATTCCACCCTTCACAAATGTTGTTGGTACGAGCATTGTTGTTCACGGTGGCGTCATGCACATTCCATAGGTGTGAGGCGACTTTTTTTCCTGTGACTTTTTTCTGTGACTTTTTTCTGTGACTTTTTTCCTGTGACGTTTTTACCTGGATTCGCTTTCTGGTGTCGTTCTAATATTGTACTTGTGCTGTTTAATTCTGAGTTGTAATGCTTTCCCAGTCTGTCCTACATAATTTCCATTACAGCTGCTACATGGAATACAGTAAACACTTCCATTTACATTCAATGTTGGGCTATTCTTAATTAATATATTAGTAATAGTTGAGTCATAATTAAAAACAACATTAATATTTAATAATTTAAGGGACTGAACTAACGGGACAAATTCATTGTGATAAAGCAGAGTCAAAATATTCTTAAATGTATGAACTTGCCTAGTTTGAGTAGAATAAACGGATTGTTTAGCCCTTTTTAAAACAATGATCAACAAACAATGAAGGGTACCCAAGTTTTTGTGCAATAGACTGAATGTGTTTCAGTTCTTCTTCAATAAATTCAGGGTCACAAATACGTAAACATCTCAAAAACATAGCAGAAAGTACTGACATTTTGGTAGACTCATGGTGACTCGATACAAAATGTATGAAGCTGTCTACCTGTGTAGGCTTTCTGTACACCTTAAGTTTATAGTTATGTCCATTTCTCATGATAAGCATATCAAGAAATGGAAGGAGTCCATTTATTTATCTTCCAATTTTGAAAGTAATACTAGGGACGAGATAATTAGGCTTGTCTAAAAATTCCATTGGGTCACCGTTTCTAGACCTTAGACAAAGAACATCATCTACATATCTATACCATGGAGGAATAAAGTCCCCTTTATTGGGTAGTAATCTAGCCTCAAAAAAATCCATATAAATACAGACTAAAGGAGCAGAAAGACAATTACCCATTGTTACGCCGTCTCTTAATTTACTTTAATATCCAGGTTCTAGGCGTAACCAAACAAAAAGAAAGTGAAGTAAATTAAAAGGGAATAAAAATAAATAAAGTACCTTTATAATTTAATTTAATTAAATATTAACACAATAAAGAGCCTCGTAGGCTGTCACAACAAATTGATTCACTATCGAAACTTTTAAGACACAAATGATACTAAAACATCGAAACATCAAAAGAATAAAAATATAGCATTGGATTACGTTAACACTGCATAAACATATAAAAACTAACACTGAAATTAACTATCGTGAAACAACACTGAATTACTTAAATGTAACTAAGCAAGCACTGATGAACACATAAGAGACATAAATAGGTACTCACATAGATATACCACATTGGTGGTGACAGGAACAACACAGAAATAAAATGAAGTATAAGTAACAGGTGACAAGTGTCACTCAAAAGAACGTGAACTGAATGACAAGAGGACTGGACTGAACTCTGTCTACAGGTGGAGTACTATATATAGGGTCGTTTCCCGCTATTGAGACCAGCAGGTGAAACATGGGTCATTTAACAATGCAGATGGTCGTTAGAGAAACTAAGAATGCTTGTTACAATACTAAATGAAGAAATAAGATGGGCTTGAACAAATAATAACAGTTAAAACCTTAACAGCACAGGGTAAGGTGACTAGATTATATAATAGTAAATATAACACACCACTACAGGAATAATATGGAACAACATAGAAGCATGTTATTTAAAAAAAATAGAAAAATACAACACGGTCGTAACACCATGCTCATGCCAAATATTTGTCTGTAAAACTTTCCATTTGCTCTAAAAACATTATCAGTAACGTAAAACTATCAATTTGAGAAATGTATCATGTTCAATAGTTAAATCTCACATAGGCAACTTATCTTTAAGGAATGAAAGTAGGTCATTCTCTGGTACTCTAGTGAAAAGTGAATTTACATGAAAACTTATTAATTCACATGGTTACTTGTGTTTCTTGAGTTTATCAATTAAATCATTGCTGTTGTGTATATGTGAATTAGGTATCTGGCCTGTAAGAGGTGATAGCATCTTAACCAACCACTTGGATAATTTGTACGTAACAGAACCCACAGAACTCACGATAGGACGTAATAGATTATTAAGCTTATGTGTTTTGATCAATCCACACATACACGGTAAAGTAGAATTGATTAGAGAGAACTGTTTGATGAAATCGGGGTTCTTTTTCAATCACACCTTCATTATGGAGATAGATTACTTAAAATTATATTAAAATAATCCAGGGGATCTTTTCTAAGCTCACAATAAGTGCTTTCATCACTTAATAATATGGATATTCACATTTCTTTTCTGGCTTATCAAGGCTGTTTCCAGTCTTTTTGGAATGTTTGAAACCATTATCTTACGTAAAACACTGCACACAACCTTTAGCTATGGAAATATCTTCATTTGAAACATCTATCGACTTATTCTTTTCCACCGTTGAGTAACAGAAAACTGTTTACAAAAACCAAGCACAAGTTTCTCATTTGTCTGTAGATCATAAGATGTGTCACAGAAAGACTTCTAGTTTAAGCAAGTTTGATTAGAGAAATGTATTCTTTAAACCTTAGTGATGGTCATACAAAACTGAAAATATGTTACACAAATTTATTTGTCAGTGGCCCAAGGTTAAAAATGCTTTGAAAGCATGTAAGGTAGATGTATGATAGATGATTAGTGGGCCAATTATTTTTTACCTAACGTAATATGAATAGTTATGTCGCCCGGTTTTATAATCACTTCTTATGTTTGCTGTGGTTGGTGTGTGGATTAGTCGATGTCATGTTTATTGACCGCCGAGGCCAATATAATTGACCTCGAATATATACAAAACTCCCTTTTATGCCTCTCAAAACTCCTATTATTACTATACCATGTCGCCCGAGGAATTATAATGAACAACGAACTTATCAATTTTCATTTTTGATAGTTGGTTGTCGGGGTATTCTTAAGGCTTACTGAATGATAGTGAAGATTATCATAATAGCCTGTGTCTAACCAAAATATCCTGTACCTTACTCATAACAGCCTGTACCTTATTCATAACAACCTGTACCTTACCTAAAACAGCCTGTACTTACGATTGTAAATGGATCACTTTGGTCATCTTAGGCAAAGAATGATTTAGACCGTCATGTCAAGTTTCCCTCGTATGGTTGTTGTTATACCTTAAGAAATCAAAACAATGAAAAAGTAATGTGTGACTTGTGAAAAATAACGTTGAATACCGAATGTATTGTAAATATAAGGTGAAATTATTCTTGTTTCTATTTTGTTTTCTGTGCTTCAATAATCTTCTATTTCAAGTATTTGATGAGACTTCATATTGATAACTACAAATAAAAATCAAAGAAGATACAATTTAAGTCTTTGTTCTTAGAAGTGAAGTAGTGGGTTACTAGATGTTTACTTCGGGCTTTTATTCTCTGTACAGCGATTCTTATATCTCCAATCACATAATATACGAGATTTATTGATTATCTACAAATCTTTTATTCTTAAATGATGTCCTAGGTTCTCTGCATCTTCCCTAAATTCAAAGCTAGATGCTGCACAGAGAGAGCTGATAACAATGTCCTGAACAAGCGTCCCATATTATCACAAATTCTGATCATATACAGTAGTTTCGAAGAGATCTTCCAAAAGTACATAACTAATTTCTCTTTAGGAAAAGTTATGTTTACATTACATATGAGCATAATGGTGTATATTTTGTTCTCAAGTGTGAACCTGTTATTAGTAAATACAAATCAATATTGTGGATAGCAGAACCTTAGTGGGTTTTTCAATTGATTCCTAATACAATAAATGTATGGTCATGAAATGGGGAATTATACACTGTACTTAAAAAACAATATCAACAAGTGGTTGCTTAATAATCAAGGTTATTTTCAAGAAGAGGTTTTGAATATGAATAGGAGGAAGATATTGTTTAAAGAAAATAATTTCAAAAGTAATCTAATTTGAATACGGTATTGAGACTAACTCGCCATTTCCATCCCTTTACAAACTTGGGAGCCAAGGGAAAGTAATGTTTAGGAGTAACATATCATCTGGT